ACGGTGGCTGGTACTGATATAGGGTCATAAGGGGAGAGTAGGGAATTATTTTGGGAAAAATTTAGTTTTTTACTGCATAATGGTGAGAATGGTGGTGTGTGTAAGTGGGAATCTGGGCTGTTGCATATAATGTGGTTGTCAGTTGTAATGTGGTTGTGAGGTGGGGTGTAATATGAAGGTTGAGAGGTAAGATTTGTAATGCTCGTATGGTTTTTGTGTTGCTGTGGACATGCCAAAAGTTGGAAGTGGTTGGTGTTGTTGTTTGCTGTGGGATAGTGAGAAGATGGTTTGGATGATTGGCCATTACTGAGTTGTGGCTTCCATCATCAAAAACTATGTGAATAGAGTTCACTTTTTTAAGTACCACTGGAGGTGCAAGGATCCAAAGATCACTCACTTATCCTATGCTGATGACCTATTCTTGTTTTGTCATAGAGATGTAGCTTCAATCTCAGTTCTTAAATGTGCCTTAGACCACTTCAGTTGTATGTCTGGTCTTGAGATAAACTTGAATAAAAGTTCAGTTTTTCTCTCTGGAGTTGAGGCTCACACTCAGGAGGCTATCACTTCTCTACTTGGCATTGGACAAGCTAACCTCCCAGTAAAATATCTTGGAGTTCCACTAATCACAACATGCTTAAAAGCCTCACTTTGCAGCCAGCTCATCAACAAAATCACTCACAGAATTTCACACTGGACTTCTAGATCATTATCCTATGCTGGCAGACTACAATTGATCAAGTCAGTCTTAGTTTCAACTCAAATCTATTGGAGCAGCATCTTCATACTTCCTAAAGGTGTCATTGATGAGCTCAATAGAATTTTTAGATCATTCTTATGGTCTGGGGTTGAGATGAAAGCAACTAGTTCTAAAGTTGCCTGGCACAAAGTTTGCAAACCTAAAAAGGCTGGAGGTTTGGGCATCCCAAATTTAGAGCAAGCAAACAAAGCAGGTATAATGAGGCACATTTGGGATTTGCAATGTGGAAACATGGACATAATCTGGATTAGATGGTGTCACACACATCTAATCAAATCCAGAAATTTTTGGGCACTTAATTATCCACACTCTTGTTCATGGAGCTGGAGGAAATTGCTTCAACTTAGGCATCCAACTAGATTACTAATTAAACAAAAGGTGGGTAATGGAGCTGGTACCTCTCTTTGGTGGGACAATTGGGCTCCAGGAGGTCCACTCTGCACTAGATATCCTTCTTCAGTCCTCACAGAAGCTGCCATCAATGTTAACTCCACTCTTTACACCTTCATAGGCAACAGCTCTTGGTCTTTCCCACAGTCTCTAACATCAAACATTCCAGAGCTACTTTACTTACAGCCTCTATGTCCAGCTATCACTGATAAGAAGGTCTGGATTGCATCACCTACTGGGCACTACAGCTACAACCAGACCACTTCCCATCTTGCAGGGCATCTAGTTAAGGTCCCTTGGTTCAATCTGGTATGGAACTCTCCAATCATACCTTGTATGGAATTCAACCTATGGATGGCAGTCCAATTTAGATTGCTAACACTTAATAGCAAATCCATGAGCAAATTCCAAAATATATGTCCACTGTGCTCTACTGCATTGGAATCTCATGATCATTTGTTTTTTAACTACTCTTTCGTCTCTCCAATTTGGAGATTCATCAAAGACAAATGCCGCTACTCAACAGTTATCACCAACTGGAGCAATTTGGTTCAATTAATAAGCTTTGTGTGGAAGACCAACTCTCCTCAAAACTTGGTGCGGAAAATCTGTTTCTCTTCAATAGTTTATCACCCTTGGGAGGAGCGTAACAATAGAGTCTTCAACAAAGGTAAATGCACGTAAAGAATCCTGCTGGCCAGAATTTTATCTTCAGTTACTTCTATCCTTAGACTGGGATTTCTAAAAGATTGCGCAGCCTCAAGGTTAATCCTTTTGGAATGGAATCTTCCCCCATCATGTTGCAGACCTCCTCCTCGCCCTTCGGATCACTCAAGTTAGTTGACAATCCGGCTATAACTGTCTACCGGAATTGATTTGTACTTTCCATTAACGGTCAATTGGAAGTTAATAAAAAAGACTTTTGATCTTGTTTGGGCCTGTGCCCTTGTTGCCCATTGGGCCTGTTCTTATTGTTCTTTTGTAATTGGGCTTTGGGCCTAAACTTTGTAATTATATTTTCATCTATGTCAGTTGCTTTACTTTCCAAAAAAAAAAAAAAAAAAAACACCAAAATTGACGCACCATTGGCGGAAAAACCGTTAAAATGATGGTAGATAGGGAACCCTTGGTATCGCTCTCGGTCTTTATTGTAATCATGATGATGAGAGGAGCGGTGGTGGTGGTGTCTCGATAGGATTCAACCATTTCTGAATTTGGGTTAGGGTTTGATTTGGGGTGTGTATATATAAAGGGTGTGTATATATAGTGCATATATAAAGGGTGTGTATATATAGTGCATATATAAAGGGTGTGTATATGCAGAGGCACGAAACAAGGTTAAAGGTGGGTTTGGCTGTCAAACATGGTGGGTGTTTGTGTTTAAGTTTTACACCTTACGAAAAAATAATCAGTTTTGTTATTTATTTATTTATTTTTTATTTGGCTGAAGATAAGATTGTCTTGGTGGTCTCATTTTGATTGGTTCAAGAGGTTGGTAGTTGCCACGTCACCAAGTTAACCCTCAAAACTACGTAGTTTTAACTGAGGGTAAATCTGTCTTATAATTTTTCCGACCAACTTTCTTGCTAGAAGGGACTGAAATGCAATAAATCAATAGTTTGGGGGTTTTTTTTGTAATTCAGGGGGATAGTTGCAATATGCCAATAGTTCAGGAGTTTTTTTTTGCATTTTACCCTATTTTATATATAATTCATATCCAAACGATGGAATGCTTTGGTAACATAAATAAACACTAATCGTAGTAAAAAAGACTATAATCACATAAAATATCAAGCTAAACCTCAATTCATTTAGTTATTATTTGAATTATAAACTCGGTTCAAGATTTTTATTTTTATTTTATTTTTCGATGAAAAAAATTATAGGAAGTCACCCCAACATTCATTTGTTTTATTGCAATACTTAAACTTTGAACCTACCACTTATAGTGAATCAGATATCACGCTTAAATAAACACTTCAAAAATTGAAAAACGAGTATAAATTATTAAAAATGCAATCCAGCCTAGTATATACATTTCAAATCTACCAGAGTAGCAAGTAGTTGTTTGTTGTTAATGTTGCATTGGTTATTAATTTGTGCTATTGTGAACATGAATTATTTGTGTTACATGCGGTGGTTGTTGTTGTCATGGATGGTTGAGCAGCTTGAATAGGAGTAGTGTACGACGTATTATCATGGCGCATCACATGTTATATGTTTTGGTTCAGATTTTTAAAAACTTTTTCTCTATTTAAGAATGTAATTAGAAGTCATTAAAATAAGAATTTACGCAAATAAGAGACGTTTTTTCTCTACCATTTAGGTTGTTTTGTGTTTTCAAATTAACAATTGAAAAAGATGTAATTTTTTGAGTACTTCATATTTTGTAACAATAATGCATGGGTAAAATACGAATTAATTTTGCTATTTGTGATGAATTAAACAATGGAATGACTAAGAGTCCGTTTGAGATTGTTGTTAGAATGTTGAAAACGCTTTTATTAGTAGAGTTGTTATAAATTTGTTATCAGTAAAATGCAGTTATGCTGTAACACTTTGTATAAATAACTTTTTATACTTGAAACACTTTTAAATTTGTTTGGTAACAATGTTGTTTAAAGCACTTTTATTATTAATTTTACTATATTACCCTTATACTAAAATTTTAATAATTCCCTAATATTAAATATTATAAAATTTCATTCAGTTCAATAATTTATAAATATCAACTTGTATTATTATTATTATTTTTTAAAAAATATCATATATTTTATTTATCATATAGAATTTGTATTTAATACTTAATTATAAATGGAAGGTGGTTATAAAGTCCTAAAATAAATTAGGATATTCGTTCATTACAGAATCCCAGAATAACTAGGATATTGTTTGTATTATTTCTAGTATGGAAAAAATTGCATTTATAAAAAATATAAAGAGATTATATTGTCTAAAAAAAATTGGTTACCTACAAAAATAAACTACTATCTCTAACGCAGTTTTAAAAGTTATAATTCATAACTTCACTTAAAGACACCTTTTTTACCTAACCTCTACAACCTATAAACACTTTTTTTTTTTTTTTTTAATTTCTTTTTACCAAACACATTGGACTGCAATCTTTGTAATAAAAGTGTTTTTGAATAGTAAAAAAACAATCTCAAACACCAACTAAATCGAGTGAGTATTTGTATTCGTGATCGCATGTTTGTGATCCAACCATTTTTTCTCAAAATCCCACTCGGTTTTGTTACTGTCACTAAGCCTCAAAAAATGTCTAAAAGACAAATTAGACAACTCTAGGAATGGGCAAAAGTAAGTAAATCATTTGATTTTAGTGGGCTAATGAAGCATAATGGCCAAAGTTGACTCCTTCGGATGTGTGAGCATCCTAATTAAGGAAAGAATAATTGGAGGGACAAACCGGTCGAAAAAAACAACAACAAAGAATTAGACACTGATGGGCCAAATCGAGTGAATTATTGGCCCTATGCATGTGGGATTAAAGTTTCACTAGAATCTCAACTGTATAATACAACAATGATATCCTTTTTGAGAAGTTCAGAAATATAACTAGTCCAATATATGCTTTGACCAGAGCCTTGACCTACCGTCCTATGTGGCGCCATTTTTCCATGCTGTCACTATGTCAAACCAAAAATTTTCCAAATCCACGTTGAACCCGTGTCCCAACTGCGTACACCTGGATGCTGGATGCCACGTGCACACTCACTCACTCAACGTATATAAGCAAATAGACAAGAAAATCCTCACACATACATACCATTTCTATGCCTGTTTTTCTAGCAAAATTTACTCATTCTTCTCCAAAATGAACCCCATGGAAATGGCCTCCTCTTCTTCTCATTTGACCCCAGACCAAGAACACTCCATCATGGTCTCAGCTCTCAAGCACGTTATCATCGGCGGTGATAGTGATGATCCCAATGGCACCCGGCTGCTAAAAGCCCTCCAATCTTCCACAAGTACAATGACCAACTTCTTCCCGCCGAATAATGAAGAAGAGATGAAACAGAGTAAGACTGAGATGAGGAAGAAGAAGTACAGGGGAGTCCGACAGAGGAGGTGGGGGAAGTGGGCTGCGGAGATCCGAGACCCCAAGAGAGCAACCCGACTGTGGCTTGGCACGTTTGAGACTGGGGAGGCGGCAGCTAGGGCTTATGACAAGGCGGCCATTGAGTTCCACGGAGCCAAAGCCAAGCTTAACTTCCCATTGTCAGATTATACAGAGGGACAAAGCTCGGAACCACAACCAGAAACTGAAGAGCTTAGAGCCAACTCGTTGGAGAAGAAGAGTGAGAGTGCAGAGACTAGTAAGGAAGATAATTATGATTGGTTTTGGGATATGATGGAAAAGGATGGGCTTCAAGAGTGAATCTTTTTCTAATTTAGACCTTCCACGCAAAGGTGAACAATTGATTAAGCAAGAAAGAGGGCAATAGTCCCTCCCGTGCAAAGAAAGTTTTTAGACCTTCCACACAAAGGTGAACAATTGACTATGGAGTCACCAGCTCGTTCATCAGGCGGAAACTAGAGACTTTTAACACCGATCCAATCAGAAACCTAAATCAGGATGACTATGGATTTTCCTCCACTATAATAATAACATAGCAATACCGTGTGTGAGAGTGATTATGTTTTTTCTTATAACCCGGCCGGTAATGGGATATATTCTCCTTCCTCCACAATTATTTTAGAAGACTTGATGTGACTGATAATTAATATTGTCCAAACTTGTGGGCAGGAAGTGGGTAAGATCTTTTGGCAGTTATTCTGTAAGCCACGTGTCTATTCAAGAGAAAGAAGAAAAGAAAAAGAATAAGATATCATTGGGGTTGGGATTGTTCAATCCAAAAAAAAAAAGGAAAAGACATATAGCATTGCGCTGTCACTAATTCGTAATTCTATCATAGAGAAGAAAGACTATGATATCCTTTGTATTGTTAATAACTGTGTCTCAAATTTTTATTCAATTTTGACATTTGTATTATAAGAATGGTTTGTTCGATTTTTTTTCAAGTTCAATACGTTATTTGTATTACTTAATTTACATTATTTTTATTCGAGTCTATTACATCGTGATCGCAATTAATATTACGAGCGTAAAATTAATTATAATTATTATACACTAACAAATTGAGTTTAGGTTTTTGTAAAGAGAGACCTAACTTTTTGTTGAGAAAGATGTAGCCTTGACTTGGGGCAGCTTTTAGGTAAGAATTTGTGTACAAGTTTCGGTGTTCCGTTACTCGTAATTTCTTACTATTGTCTTATTTCTTATGCTTTGGTTGTGCCTTAGCGCATTTTTGAACTGTGTTGTAAAATAGAGAATCCACTCACAACTACCTTTTACCATTTGAAAAATAAAAAATAAAAAATAAAAAATCATCAACTACCTTTTACCATTTGAAAAATAAAAATAAAAAAATCATCAACAACATGACAAATCAACCTTGTGGTGGAGTCCTCATTGCTTAAAAATATGGTTTAGATGGGTCAAAAACTTGACATGAAACGGATACACGAAGCTATCAATTGACTTGGACCAAATTGACAAGGTGGTTCTGAGGGAAGGTTTGGCTTTGTTACACAATTGGGGCTATATAAAGCAGTGGACATAGTGTGACTGTCAAACCATAAATTCTTTCAAGCCCTTCTTTTGATCCTCTTTATGTGCCTGTGTGTTAGTTATTTGGGTAATTTGCCCTCACATTCTTTCAGATTTACAATAAAAAATAAGTAGATGCAATTTAAGAAAAGTGTGATTCAATTACCCACTAAGTTTGCAAATTTGAACAATAACACTCCCGACCATAATAAGAGTATTAATTGTTCTTTGACTTTTATAAGTCCTTTTATAAGAGTATTAACCTTTATAAGTCCTTTTATTTGACCAAAATGACCCTTAAAAAAAATAAATAAAAATAAATAAATACCACCATTATGGTTGTCAATGCCATATGCATACAGAGAGGGGCGGACCTAGAAAATTTTAAAGGGGGACCAAACTAGTAATATAAAAATAAAATTTTAAAATAATATAAAATTATTGTAAGAATTTTTATTTATTTATTTATTTCTTGGTGCATGTTTAATGCCTTCGCTGAAATAGATGAATTAGTTGTATTACATAATACTAAAACAAAATTTTAATACAAAACTCTGACTTTCCATCTCAAAAAGTAGGAAATATGGTTTTTAAATTTTTTATTATTATTCCATTGTAATATATTAAATATTAAAAGATTTTTTTTAATATTTAAATATTAAATATCACCTTCAAGTAATCACACACAAGTTAATCTTTTTATTTATTAGTATTTATTGAAACATTACCTACCCAATATGTCACATTTTTCTTCCACATAAACGAAGAAAAAGAAAAAGAAAACATGTTACAATAAAATTATATTTATTTTTTTATTCTTAAAGGTCATTTTGATCAATTAATAGGAAGTTACATGAATTGAATATGAGTACCCATATTTCACCCATTGTATAAAAAACCTAAGCAAAGAAAAAAAATTCCTGTCTCATCCTTTCCCTATAAAATTTTCTCTAGATCATGATCCCCTCTCTTTCTCTCTCTAAGATTCTCTCTTTGGTTCTTTTACGTCCCTCTGTCTCTTCAAAATTCTCTCCTCATCAATCATCAAAATTTATTTTGCAAATGAAGTGCCCTCTGATCTTCTCGCTGAGTGGAAACTCTCCGCCGGCACCTTACACTAAACCCCAAGATTGTATGGTATATCTATTGATTATGTCAGCATAGGGCACAATCAATGGCAATGCATGGGCGGAGACAAGGGGGGCTGGTGGGGGCCATGGCACCCCCTATATATATATATATATATGCATGTAAGTCAATACTTTAATTTAACCAGGTAGGTTTAAACTGCCGGCCCCCAAATAAAGGAAAAATATTTCAATTGGTCTCTAACCAGACACATTTTCCGTTTCTTTTGGTCGATTGGTCCTGACATTTTTAACCTTTTATTTTCCTTTTTCGTAACTTCTGTTTCTTTTGGTTCACTTTTTTTGAATTTTTATTTTCTTGTTTTTGCAGTGATTTTGTCTCTCCTTGGCTCTCACACTTTTTTGGTCATTCTCTATTTCTATCTCTCTATTGTCTTTCATTTTTGTTCTTTTGTTCTAGAATTGTGAGCGCAATCCAGCATGAAAATCTATTATTTTGAGCGCAGTCTGGTATGAGATTATATATATCAAATTTTACCCTTTCATTTGTTTTTTGTTTCCAGATCTATTGATTTTGTGATTATTTTTCTTTTTATTTTCAGATTAATAAACGAGCACTGCACGCACTGGATTGAAGGTATGATATTTATCTCAATTTATCAGTATATCAATTTTTTATATTAATTTCTTAAAATATATATTAATTTTACTCTTTCATTTTGTTTTCTGTGTTCCGATATATATATATATATATATATATATATATATATATATATATATATATATATTTTCAGATCTCTTATTTTGAGTTTAACAAAAACGAGCAGTGAATCTCAAAAATCACATCGAACTGAGATACTCCAAATGATGTTTCTCTTCGTTTTTCATTCTATCAAACTTCAATATTAATTTCTATAAAAATAGATTAATTTTCACTCTTTTAATTTCTTTTTCATCTTTATATCTATTAATTTTTAGTTTGTGTTTGTATAAAATGGTGAAAGTTAATGACAAAATAAAAAATTTTAAGGTGAAGTCACCTATAATGAAATGAATCAAATGCTGGAGAATTAAAAATTGGTGAGAGTGGAATCCATGAAAGGAAAGTACACCACTAAATGTGTTAAAAAAGATAATAATAATACACCACTAAATACTAACATTTCTAACATTGCTAGAGAAAAAAACAAAACACCACTACACTGAAATAAAAGAAACGAAAGCTTCACCACTAAAGCGAGTTCTTATCACACAGGCAATTGCGATTATTAGGAAAGTTTAATAAATATAAAAAAAATATGAATATTAAATTATTTTTGACGTAAATTAGTCTTAATTGGATTCTTCTTATAAGATTGGCCCCTCTCCCACGGAATCCACGCCTGGTAATGCTGTGAATGTGTCAAACATATATATATATATATATATATATATATATGTTTGACTCATTGTTTGTACTAGGATGCATCAAGATATTTAGGATAAAAGATATATATATATATATATATATATATATATATATATATACACACATACACATACTAATAAAAACCACGTGCGATGCATTTGATTAAAAGTTATTTTATAATTTTAATTAAAAAATTATAGAAAATTATCAAAATAAATTTTATTTTTAAATAATTAATTAGCAACTTGTTTGAGTAATTACAATTTTAAATATTAATGAAATCAAATATATTATTTTTTTTTGCATATTCATGAATCTTGAGCAACAAATAGTATTATAAGAGTAAAAATCAAAATTTAAGGAGTTACAAAATTTTACTTAAATAATTATTAACTATGATGTAAATACTAATTTTAGATAAATATTAAAAATTCATAATTTTATACCATTAGTCATAATTGTAAATCATAATAGGTCAACAATATAAAATAGTAAAAGATAAAAAGTAAAACTTATTAAGTAACTAAGTGTATAAAATAGTTATAACTACTTTTTTGACTTTGGGTGTAAAGCTTTAATAGAATTTTTTATTTTTTTTGTTTGGATAAGGTAGCTCTAGTGGACTTTTTATTACAATATAAGTTTAACAATAGAATGATATTACTGGACCGATAATTTAAACCCACTATTCGTGAATGTTGAATCGTGATGTGACAATCCAAATATTTTGAATTTTAATTTATATTTATTTTATTATTTTTAGTTGTTAAGATTGATTATTTAATTATAATTGAAGATTCAGATATGATGTTTGAGTTTATAAGAATTGATTTTGAGTTATTGGTTTTTTGTTTTATTAGTATTTGTTTTTAGTAGATTAGTTTTATTTATTTATTAAGTTAGGGGTTTTGATGAAGTTTTGTTACAGGAATGTTAGAAATGTAAGTCTATACATGTATCAGTGATGATGGAAGGAAGACAATGATAATGAAATGAGGGTGGCTGTTTCGTGGAAGATGGAATTGGAATGAAACAAGGAAAGTGCCGGGTCCATTGAAAGTAATTGTTTTGCAGAAGGCTAGGCTTTGTTTGGTGCTCTCTGTGTTTGGTGCTCTCTGTGGTGTGTCTTAGGCTTATCCTTTGCCTTTGATTTTACTCTGAAACACATGGGCAGCATGCGATGGGTGATATATTATTTATACAATGTCTATATGTACAGGGGCACAAATCCTCTGCTGTCCTTAACCTTGCGCTCCACTGCTTAATGTCGTGTTTGGCTTGGCACAACCAAAAAAGGCAACTAACGGCATAGTAAACTTAATGCTAAAGTGCCAGCTGTAAACCAAAAAGAAAAAACAAAAAAAATGAACGAAAAAATGAAAAAGAAAAGTTGAAAAAAGTTGAAAAACACAAAAATTGGCGCGCCGGCTTCTTCACTTTTGTCTTTCCCATTCTTCCCTTTTGGTTTTCTTATTTCTCTCCTTCCCTTTTCGTTTTGTTCCATTATTTCTTTTTAATTTCTTTAATCCAAACCCTAATTTGTCTCTCCTTGTTTCATAAAAAACATATTACTTTTGAATTCCTTTTTTATTCAAAACCTTAATTCTTCCTTCCTCCACTATTTTTACTTTTTATTTCCTTTTTTGAATCAAAACCCAGATTGCAGTGATTTCCTTCCAGAAATTGTTGATTTCTTCAATAAGATTCTCCTCTTTATCTACAGGAAAGAAATCTACAATGGGCCTGAGCTGGTATTTATAGTTTTGTACGCTTGATGGTTGGTAAGGCTTAATCAATGTTATTAATATTATATATTTAATAGTATTGTTCATTTATTGTTCAAAATACAGTGAAATTTTTGTTTTGAACTGGACATTATAGATTTAGAACTGAAATTATGATTATTTTCATTTGTCATCTGTTACCATAAATTATGATATTTTTACTTGAAATTGACATTGGTTAAGCATTCTGGTGAATCTGAAATCTTCGATAATTGAAGGGTTTTCTTTTATAATCTTCAATAAGCATTCTAGTGAATCTGAAATATTCCATAATTGATTTTTTGAACTGAGTTGGCTTCATTAGGTACTGTGGAGGGAAAAATTCCTCTACTAATAAATATCAGCCACGTCATTTAATAAATTGTAACCCCATTTCTTCTGGGCCACAAGGTCTTTAAGCCCAGCTGGGCGAAGCCCAAGAGAACTATCATTAACCCAATACATGATCAACTCTATCTATTGTCGGTCAAATATACAGCTAGGATAAATATTATCCATGATTCAGATCCGATCAATTACATTATCAAATGAGCCTCACAAGGAAGAATCTATATAAAGCAAGAACCCTGTATAGAAGAAAAAAACCTTACATAGAAGAATTTATATGAAGAAAGGTTATTATATAGAAAAAAAGCCTTGTATGGAACATAATGACGAAGGATAATGGTGAATAAAACATAATAGACAAACATGACAATTTTTACCATAATTTATCATTAATTCTTGTATAAATAGAGACAAAAGCCTACAATGAAATATATCAAAATTTCTTTGAATATTTATTGTGCATTATTTTTATTTAGTGTTCTTCTTTTATTCTTTAATTTATTATAATTGACAAATTTTTACACCTACACTTTGGCGCCGTCTGTGAGAATTGTATAGAAATATACCCCCACGAGTGATTAGTTACTTGTTTTTTCGCAACTACGTTCTGAGATGTCAACTAGAGGTAACGCAACTGATTAACAAATGGAGTTGATGCAAAAGATGAGAGAAGAGTTCCTACAGCAGTTCGAAATGCTCAGACAGGCGAACGAAGCTAGCACAACTCAGATCACTCTTTTCTAACAACGAAATGATATCCTCCAGATAGCCATGGAGCAGATCGCCGTCCAATCACCACCAGGCAACACCACCTTGCAAACGGGGCCCAGGAAAGTCTTCCCAATCATGCTGCGCTCCCGGAGGCCGAAGCCGAAGGATGAAGCCCAAGCCAACGGCAATGAGCGAGGGTAGAAGATGGAGAATGAAGCGGGAGCCTCAGAAAACTATCCCCTTCAGCAGACGCAGGAAGAACAGGTTGAATCCACACAGAGGCCTACGGTATTGCTAAACGGAGCCCCAAGAGCCTTCGATGAAAGAAAGCTCCTAAGGATTCGGACGCCAGCAGAGATAGCCAGAGAACACAAGGATTCTTTGATGAAGACTCTGTTCACCGACAAAATAAACTACGTTGAGAGGCCGAAAAAGTTTACCATACTCGTCTTCACGCAATTTAATGGTACTGGGGATCCATCCAGGCATCTCGATCATTACTTCCAGAAGATGGCCATAGATAACCACAATGATCCATTCATGTGCAAGGTATTCCCAACCAGTCTGCGGGAACAGCACTAGAGTGGTTCAAAAATAGGCTTTGCAGTTCAATTCTGAACTATGAAACACTGTGCACTGTGTTCTTAGTGCAATATTGCGGCAACAAGAAGCAGAAGAAGACTATCTCTAGTCTATTCACCATGAGGCAGAAAATGGGAGAACTTCTTTAGGATTTCCTATCTAGGTATAACATGGAAGCATCAGAAATACTAGATTGTCATCCTGCAACAGTTGTAGAGGCATTCAAGATTGCTATGATTCAAGGGTCTAAGTTTCATACTTCTTTAGTCAAGTACTCTCCTGAAGACATACAAAATGCTAGGGCACAGACTTACGTTCGACTTGAGGAAAACGTAGCCAATAGATCTCAACATATAACCCTTGTTACGGTGGAAAATAAACCTCGAGAGAAAGTTTTAGGCTCCAAGGGTCAGAGGGGTCAACAATCCTCGGCGTCAGCAATCTAACCACCAGAGAAAAAGCAAAAAATTGACGAGAAGCAAACCCCTCTCCGAACAACCTTGGCGCGGTTATTTCAGGAGAATAAGGCATGGTTCATGGCCCTCCAGCTAATCATATAGCCTCTAGAACAAAGAGACAAAAGTAAGCATTGTGCTTATCATAGAGATTATGGGCATATTACTAATGATTGCATGACCCTCCGGAGACAAGTGGAATCTATGATAGCTAAAGGAGATCTAGCATAATACATTGGGCCGAAGGATCAGCCGGGGCCAAAGGAGGTCAATCCCAGGAGGGCCGATGGCAGTCAAGTGAAGTTATCCATGTGATATATGGAAAGTCCGAGGAAGATCAAGAACCAGAAGAAGTTTATCGCTTCAGTCTGAGAGCAGTTCACAAGTTGAGGAAATTATCCTTAGTCAATTCGATCTCCCTAGGCAGTATCAGAATCAAATTTAGAGATAAAGATTTGGCTAGGGTACAACTCCCCTATGAAGATCCACTAGTCATCAGCCTCCTAGTAGTAAATTCCCTTATCAAAAGAGTCCTGGTAAACCCTGGGAGTAGCACCAACATCATCACAAAGGCCGGCTTTGAGTGACTGGAGATCCCGTTATCATCTATCAAGGCCTCGTTTGGCCACTTCTGGGAATCGATGGAAGCAAAGTGGACCCTATAGAGGTGATAGATCTATCAGTCACTGCTGCAAAGAGAACACTGAAGGAAAACTTCGTTCTAATGAAAATTCACCCCTCTTACAACTTGATCATGGGAAGATGGTGGATTCACTGAATGAATGGGGTTCCATCTACTCTACATCAAATGATGCGATGTTTATCTCCAGAGGGTAAAGAAGTCATCAACCTTTGGGGAGATCAAGCCTCAGCTATGGAATGCTACATGGTCACGCTAAAGGAAGCGTAAAAGGGCAACAAACCACATGAGTCGAACGTTGTTTCCAAAGTCGCTGCTAAATAGGAATTACAGAGCCCTCTGCCCAGATGCTTGTTAGCAGAGGCAGAGGCACGGAAGTCCACTGAAGAGTTGTTTGAAGCTATTAAAGTTGTTCCAGGCGAGACACAAAAAATTACTTATATAGGATCTTTACTTTCACCCAAGGAAAAAGAAATATTGATCAGAGTCATTCAAAAGAACGCAGATGTATTCGCTTGGGGGCACATGGACATACCAAGGATCAATCCTTCGGTCTCGTGTCACAGCCTCAGAGTCGATCCCTCATTCAAACCAGTCAGACAGAAGCATAGGATATTCGCCCCTAAAAGAAACCAAATAATTACCGACGAGGTGGACAAATTACTTCAAGCAAGCTTCATCAGAGAGGTGTATTACCCCCATTGGCTCTCAAATGCCGTGGTGGTACAGAAGAAGAATGAAAAGTGGAGGGTATGTATAGATTTCACCAACCTCAACAAAGCTTGCCTCAAGGATAGCTTTCCATTACCGAAAACTGACCAAATGGTAGTTGCTACTACAGACTATGAGCAACTTACATTCATTAATGCATACTCCGGATATAATCAGATCCCATGAATCCGGAAGATAAAGAGAAAACATCCTTCATTACAAAGAAAGGGACTTTTTATTACAAAGTTATGCCTTTCAGGCTTAAAAATGACGTGGCTACTTATCAGCGCCTCATCAATAAAATCTTCGGTGAGATGTTGGGCAAAACAGTAGAGGCATACATTGATGACACGGTGGTCAAAAGTAAGAAGAAGGCAGATCATTCCAAACATCTTCAGGAGGTGTTCAACACTTTGAGAAGGTATAAAATGAGGCTGAACCTTTCTAAATGCTCTTTTACGGTGTCATCAGGACAGTTTCTCGGTCATATCATCAATAAAAGGGGGATTGAAACAAGTCCAGCTCAGGCCCAAGCCCTAGTGCAGAATCAAGAGCCTAAGACCCATAGAGATGTACAGGTTTTTACAGGTAGGATAACAGCACTCTGCCAATTCATATCCTGGTTATCAGACAAATGCAAGCCTTTCTTCGATGTTATACGGTCAAAAGATAAGAATATCTATGGGCCACAGCAGCGAGATGATCTCATAAAGCTAAAGCTCTACATGTCTAACCCCCTTATCTTATCTGTACCAAAGTCTGACGAAATTCTCACCACGTACCTTGCAATTTCTACCATAGCTACAAGCACAGCATTGATCTGGAAGGAAGAAGGAAAGCAATACCCAGTCTTTTACACAAGCAAGATAATGACAGATGCTGAAATATGGTACAACAAAGTAGAGAAGATCATACTAGCCTTGATATATGCCAAAAGAAAACTTAGACAATATTTCGAGTCACATCGCATCGTGGTTCTTACAAACTATCTGATACGGGTTATTTTGTCCAAGCTAGATCTGTCAGGAAGCCATTGAACTCAAATTTTTTGACATTTCCTACAAGCCGAAGGCCTCACACAAGGGACAGGCTGTGGCCGATTTCCTCTTGGAGTACTAGGATAAGCCTGAAGAACCGGAACCCCCAGAACCACATTAGGAGCTTTACGTTGATGGCTCCTCAAATCTAACTGGCGTAGGGGCAAGGGTTGTCCTTAAAACTCCAAAAGGAACTATGCTTCAGCTGTCAATCCGGCTGAGTTTCCCTGCTACAAACAACGAAGTCAAATATGAATTTTTGCTAGCTGGACTTTGGTTGACAAACCAACTTTAGGTAAAGTATCTTAAAGTTTTTAGCAACTCACAGCTTATCGTGAACTAGGTGATGGGAAAATACCAGCCAAAAGAGGAAAGGATGAAGGCTTACAAAAAGGTTGTAGAGGCTACTTCTAGTGAATTTGATCAAGTTGAATTTCACCAAATACTGAGAGAAGAAAACTCTGAAGCAGATAAATTGGCTTTTGTAACCTCATCCACAGCTGAGGTCTTGATCTGAATAGTTCCAATTGATATTTTAGAAGAACCCTTGAAGCCTCGTTTAGAAGTTATTGCAATTCCTCAAGGCCCAAGAAAGCCTTGCTGGATGGATCCATTGGAAGATTACCTCAAAAACGGAATCCTCCGATATCAGAAAGCAGAAGTTAGGAAAATAAGGTCTACAGCGGCCAAGTACTTAATTATCAATAATCACCTGTACCGAAGATCATTCTCAGGCCCATACTTAAAGTGTTTGACCCCTGCTGAAGCTCTCAAAGTGATGAAGCAGATACATGGGGGGATTGCGGCAACCATTTAGGCGGAAGATCCCTCATCCATAAGATCTTGACTCAAGGCTATTTCTGCCGTACATAACCAGGAATGCTGAAGAGTACACGAGGAGATGCGATCAGTGTCAGAGCTACGGTCCCATAAAACATCAGCCGGCTGAAGATCTGCATGCAATGGTAAATCCTTGGCCTTTTGCTCAATGGGGGATTGACGTAGTACGCCCACTACCCAAACCTTTTGAACAGAAGGAATACGTATTATTGGCCACTGGCTACTTTACAAAATGGGAAGAGGCTGCAGCTTATTCAAGCATGACTCACGATCAGGTAAAAAACTTCTTGTGGAATAACATAATATGTCGATTCGGAGTTCTGAAAGTTATTGTAATGGACAACGGCAAGAATTTGGATAACAAGCATACTAGGAAATTCTTTGATTAACATTGAATCCACAAAAGTTGGCTGTAGTAAGCCATCCACAGGAAAATGGACAAGCCGAGATAACTAACCGAATCATATTCGACTGTCTAAAGAAGAAGCTGGAGAAGCTTAAGAGCAAGTGGTATGGAAATCTTTCCATGATACTTTGGGCTTACCGAACCACTCCAAGAAGGCTAAGGGGAGAGTCCATTCACAATGGCGTACAGATCCGAGGCCGTAATTCCAATAAAGATAGAATTGCCAACCTTATGTTGATGGAAGGAGGGAATAATCAGTAGTTGGAGCACAGTCTCGATCTCCTAGACGAAAAAAGAGATGCTGCGGCAATAAGACTCGCTTTATACCAATAATAGCTATGAAATAGCTACAATAAGCGGGTCAAACCGAGGAGTTTTGTTGTGGGAGATTGGGTGCTGAAGCAAGAAACGGCATACGTTAAAAAGCTACAACCCAATTGGACTGGACCTTATAGGGTTATCGAAGTAATAGGAAAGGGGCCTACAGGTTAGCCGAGGAAGATGGCCAAACAATTGCACGACCATGGAAT